AAGAGTGTGAGAGTAGGGCAAAAGGAAGAAGTCTTGGGAAGAAAGAGAAGTCAGGGAAGGATGGGAAAAAAGATGGAAGATGTTGGGGGTTCTGAATTGAAATGATGAGGAGAAATGGTTTGACTCTGAGAGTTGGGGCAGGTTGCGAAATGAGTTTGGAGACAGAAGGGCTTGGGAGATAAGAAGTCACAGCTGGGAAAAAGCGGATGAGAGTGCAGAGTCAGGGGATGAGCGTGCTGTGCTACACAGGATTTTGGGTGAGACTGGGCAGCTATTACTGTGGTGCCTCCCTGCTGCCTCTAACCGGCTCTGATCTGGAGACAGACATTTGCAGAGACCTGGCCTTCCTCTCCCACCGGCAAGGGTTTTGTCTCCCCTACGTTCTCTTTTTGTCACTCAAAAGTACAACATTTAACGTTTAATTTCCAGACGAGAAGATAACAGTTTTCCTGACTATCTATTTTTAAATCAACCCCTCAACAAACCACAGTAATGTCATGGATCCCCCAAACTCATCTCCTCCTCTGCAGTGTTTCTCCTCTTTTTCCAGCGTGAGACGGGGAAGTACGCGCACGCTTCTGTCCCGGCGTGCAGACTCCGCTGCCGGTTGCGCTGTCCCGCTCCCACGTTGCACTGCCTCCTTTGCTCAAATCCATTTCCAAATTTAGCCAGACAGATGAAGAAATAAATTGTGGATAAAGACCATTCCCGGCTTGGCCGGTAGATGGCAATTACTGCTCTTTAAGAGATCCTTAAACGGTCTTTAAAGCTTACAGAAACAGGAGTTTGCAGTAGGTGAGTCTCGGTAATATTCTATTGAGTGTGAAAACACCTCTGGAAATTGAGTTCAGCTTTCCTGTCATCTCCTAACAGATCAGATATCGGAACTTCTCAGTCTGTAAAATAAGTACTGTTATACGTTAAGGAGAAGAGCACTTAATGTTGCTCTGAGTTGTTCACTCGGCACTTAACTCTCTGTTACGCTGGCGTAACGTGCAGTACAGAAAACTTCTGGTCCCTTTTTAAAGGTATTGTAAAATCTACGTTGTTTCTGGGACGCGTCCTGTCACATCAAAGGGTCCTGATCAACACAGAGAGTTGAAATTAAAGAAAAATTTAATAATATATGTGTGCGTTTCCTATTGTTGTTACAGATGTAGGGGAACTGAGCTGTTTAATTTCAGAAGGAAAAAGAAAAGCAGAGCATGCAGGTAAGGATAATATACGTCATAAATGACAAACTTCTGGAACAGGTTAGCAGAGAAGGCTGCTGCAGGAAAATAAACTCGGGTGAGGCTCTTTGCTGAATAAGGAGAATGTTTCAGGGATGATGTAAAAAGACAGCAAGTTGGAACTATGTTAATGAACAAATATACCAACGTTCTCCTTTTCCTTGCCCGAATTCCTCTTTCATTGTCACAGTGAAATGGCTCTGTACAGCTAACTCCAGTGTGGTATTTAGGGAATGCTGTGAGTTTTTACTGCTGAGGAGTGGTAACACCCAATGTGGGGAGGAGGAAGGGTTAAGAAGGAGGTCCAAGCTGGCATTACACTTTAGTTCCTAGCTATCATGTTGACTGGGACATAAAGTACAGAAGTCCTGAGTAAGCGTGGGGGAAAACGTTTCTTAAGTCATTCCCTGGTGACCTTTTTACCTCAAGAAGCATAAATAGGATATGAGGCAAGCTTTATCTAGCTCTGCGTGGCTCAAAGTTTAGTTGCCCTGACGTGAGACTGAGGACTGAAAGGAGCAAAGAAGGAAAATTAGTGGGAAGAGGACCTCGGGGTCCTGCCAAAAAGGCTGGTTTACATTTAAGCACTTACTATTTCAGACTCACTGAAACACTATGTTTTACTTTCCAGTCATACTGAGACGATCAAACTATGAGCGACTGAACTCCTAGACTGAGAGTGTGATTAACAGTTTTTAACTCAAGGTCCTTTCCCGAGCTATTGCAGACGGACCAGAAGCGTGCGATGTCCGCCCTTGCCTTTCTATCGTTCGTGGCCAGTGCTCTGTGAAACCCCGAGTTAGGAGCCCTCTCATTGTCAAAAAAAGCAAGTGTTTCCTTGAGTAAGAGAGAGTCTACCAGAAGCAAGGCCATCGAAGCGGAAGTCTGGGGGGGCTGGTCTGGCCTCGGGCTTCAAAGGAAGCCCAGGATTTGCTGGTGGTGAATAGTTTAAGCAGACCGCAGGGACTACGTTCAAAAGTTTGTTTAAAAACAAACAAACCTGTAACTCTTACATGTTCACGGGCAAGAAATTCCTGTACTAAGCCTGTGCCCCTTGCTTTAACACCAAAGTTGTTTCTGAAAACTGTTGTTAGGAAACCATGTTATTAGGAAACAGCAAGGTAGACTCAGAAGGAATTAGTCCAAGTCATTAGGAGGCTTGGTTTGGGGGTCAGAGACAGAAGAGTCTCAGGGTGGCGAGAATGGGATCTGTACCTGGCAATTTGCTTGAGAAATCCCGAGTCAGGAGCACTGGGTCTGTCTGCGTCAGCGAGTCTTTGAAACGCGGGAGACCGAGGTTGGACACAATCACAACAAATCGATGTCTAACCAGAGAACAGAAATCAACCCACACGTGACAATTAGCGCTTCCAGTTAATACTTCATACATATATTGGTCCCCAAAATAGGCTTCACATCTTATCTTTATAAGAAGCGCACATCTTGGCTAGAAAAAATCAGAAGTCTAGCTCTCTCCTGCGTATCAGGAAAAGCAAAATGAGAAAAAATGGCACTGAAATCCCCTTGTAGGTTAGCCTGAAGTATCAGTGCTACTGTGAAAGCTGAAGTCAAACACAAGGTTGGGGTTTTATGTTTGTATCTTTAATTCCTGGCTACGATTGGATTCATTGCACAACCAGAAAACTGATTTTTCCAACTGATAGC